CAACTCCTCAGCCCCTGCAACCACCATTCTACTTTCTGTCTCTATGAATTTGGATAATGTGGGGCTCTCCTATAAGTGGAATCATATAGTATTTGTCCTTTTGTGTCTGGCTCATGTCACTGAGCATCATGTCCTCAAGGTTCATCCATGTTGCATGTTGTAGCAGGTGTCAGAATTCCCTTTCTTGTTAAGGCTGAATGATATTCCACTGTGTGTATATACCACATTGTGTTTATCCATTCACCTGTCAATGGACACTTGGGTTGCTTCCATTCTTGGCTACTGTGAATAATGCTGCAATGAATATGGGTGTACAAATATCTCTTTGAGTCCTTGCTTTCAACTCTTTTGGTTATATACCCAGAAGAGGAATTGCTGGGTCATATAGTAATTCTATTTTTAATTTTTTGAAAAACAGCCATCTGTTCTCCACAGCAACTGTACCATTTTACATTCCTACCAGTAAAGCACAAGGGTTCCAATTTCTCCATATCCTCGCCAATACTTATTATTTTCTTTATTTTTTTAATAACAGTACCCACCCTAATGGGTGTGAGGTAGTGGAAATGAGCACTTTTACATTTATTTAGATCAGGGATTGGCAAAATTTTTCTGTGAATAAATAGATAGTAAATATTTTCAGCTTCGCAGATCAGATATTCTCTCTTGTGACCACTCAACTCTGCCATAGTAGCACAAAAACAGCCACAGATGATCTGTAAATGCGTGGGCATGACTGTGTTCCCATAAAACTGAATTTATGGACCCTGTCATGTGAATTTCATATAACCTTTGCATGCCAGGAAATATTCTTCTTTTTATTTTTGTCATCCATTTAAAAATGTAAAAGCCATTTTTAGCTTGAGGGTCCTGCTAAAACAGGTGGCTGGACAACCCCTGATTTATTCAATAGTGGACCAGTCTCTGAATGAATGAAGAATGAATGAATGAATGAAGTGCCTGGCAGTCAAGATATTGCCAAGCTGTGCTCTTTGCTCTAAGTCTCTGTCTCTGTCTCTGTCCCTAGGGTCCCCCTCAAGACCTGTCTGTTCATCTCTGGTGAGTAGAACCACCTTTCTTATTTGCAACGTGGGGCCCTTTGGGGTAGGTGCCCAGGCTGGGTATGGGAGGGGCCTCCAAACCAATCAGTTATTCAATCTTCAAATCCTGGGCGTTGACTGCTGGGTCTAGCCCTGCATGGGGGGCTGCTAAGGAGAGAGCAGACAAAAGAGAGTCCTTGACTTTGGGGGATTATGGTCTCACTGGAAGGAAAATGATGGTGGTGATGGTAATGGCAGTATCCCGTTTTTTTTTTGAGCACCTATTGTGTATAGAGCAGTGAGGGGTGGAGGTTTACAGTGTTGCTTCTGGAGCCCACTGACCTGCAAATCCTGACTCTAATGTTGTGACCTTTGGCCAGTAACTCAACCTCTCTGTGCTTCGACTTTCCTTTCTGGAAAATAGATTAATACCTATATCTACTTCATATGGCTAATATGAGGACTTAAGTGCTTAGTCTGTGCCTGGCACATGTAAGCACTTTATTATCTGTATTATTAGTACTCGCTGTTATGAGCACATTTCATCGATTCTAAAATGCACATTTTTTTTTTTTTTTTAAGTTTTAACATCTCTGGCACTGGAATGGCTCTTACAATCAATAGAGCCTCAGTTTTCTGCCTCATTTTATGGGTGGTAATTTTTATTTCGTAATGGCCATAAAAGAACAGTGCATTTTACAGTCCTCGGCATCTTAGACTTGGTGTAATGTGATATCGTTTTTATGGCTGTGTGTCAGCATTTTAAGGAGCACATTTGATTCTCGTAACAACCCTTTGAAGTAGGTGCTGTCCTTACTCCCTTCTTGTAAAGGAGGAAACCGAGGCTTGGAGAGGGGGACGTGATTTGTTCAATGTCACACAGTGAGGAAGGGACGGAGATGGGATTCAAACCCAAGTCTGCCTGACTCCAAAGCCGGACTTTCCTGCCTCTTGGAAGTCATGATAACACAAGGGACAGAATTCCCGAGTGTCTACCGTGTATGAAGTGCTACAACCATATTATCGCCATTGGTCAAAAATGTCACTCTGTGGTGGGTAGTTTCACCTCCTTCTTTTCAGAAGAGGAAATTGGGGCTCAGAGTGACAAAATCAGTTCCCGAGGTCACAGAATGACAAAGTGGCAGAGCCAGGATTCAAACCGTGGTCTCTGGAGGCTGTGTTCACTGTGCCCTCTGCTGCCAGGATGTGGTCACCAGCGACCAGGGCCGGGGCTGGGGTGACAAGAGCGAGGCTTTCTCTTCAGGCGCACAATTTAAGGGGCGCCAAACTCAGGCATCGAGATCCATAATATTTTAATGCAATGTTTAAAAAAATCAATCAAAAGCAAGGCAAAAAAAAAAAATCCATGGTGAGCAAGATATCAAAGTTGTAGATAATGACAGGAAATCACAGGGCTGGGAGGAGGAAGAGGTTAATCAGGCAAATGCAGAGTCGAATTTTGTCTTCATTTAAAACTTTGACATTTTGTTCATCATGGATGTTTCTTCACATTCATTTTTTTAAATTGAGGTGAAATTCACATAACATAAAATTAGCCATTTAAAATTGCATTTATATTAATATTTACACTTATATTACATATTTACATTTATATATCATATATAATTATATATTATCTGAAGTTAATATATACTATTTATGTTATATATTTACATTTATAGCAGATATTCATATTCACATTATATTATCTATGTTATATAAAGATATATATGTCTATAATTATTATCTATATTTAATTGTATTATCTATATTATCTATAGTTAGATATATATTATCTATAATTAATATATATATTATTTATGTTATGTATTTACATTTATAGCATAAGTATATTCATATTCACATTTATATATCACAGATAATTATATATTATCTATAATTAATATATATTATTTATGTTATATATTTATATTTATAGCATAAATATATTCATATTCACATTTATATGTTATAGATAATTATATATTATCTATATTATATATTATCTATGTTATATGTGTACATTTATAGCATAAATATATTCATATTCACATTTATAGATCATCTATAATTATGTATTATCTATAATTAATGTATATTATGTTATGCATTTACATTTATAGCATAAATATATTCATATTCACATTTATGTATTATAGATAATTATATATTATCTATATTATATATTATCCATGTTATATGTTTACATTTATAGCATAAATATATTCATATTCACATTTATAGATCATCTATAATTATGTATTATCTATAATTAATGTATATTATTTATGTTATGTATTTACATTTATAGCATAAATATATTCATAGTCACATCTACATTCAATGACATTTAGTACATTCATGATGCTGTGCAAGCACCACCTCTATCTAGCTCCAGAACATTCCATCATCCTCAAAGGAAACCCCATCCTCATCAGCAGTCACTCCCCATCCCCCTACCCCAGACCCTGGCAACCACTAACCCACTTCCTGTCTCTGGATTTGCCTGTTCTGGACATTTCATATGAGTGGAATCACACAACATGTGACCTTTAGTGACCAATTTATTTCACTCGGCATCATATTTTCAACGTCCATCCACATTGTAGGACATATCAGTGCTTCATTCATATTGGTGGCTGTTTTTCCTGCCATGTGGATTTTTAAAAATATTGCATTAAAAGACTATTTATTTTATTTGTTATTATTTATCTTGATGACTGAGTGTGTTGGCTCCCCCTTTAAATTTTGTACCCGAGGCTAGTGCCTTACATTCCTCACCCTCTGTTCTGGTGACCACAGAGGTGGGCAAACAGTGGGCACTCAGTAAATGCCTGTTCAGGAATGCCAAATTCCAGAGTAAAAGAAAAAAAGGAAAACAACTGCTTTTCTATGCTCACACTCTCAACACTTCTGAAACCAAATATATGTTCTTTTCCCCACAACAAACAATTCTGCAATTCTCCGACACCCTCTGGCTGTCCTAAAATTCAATTCAATGCTGACACGGGCTACCTGGCGTTCGTGTCAGATCTCACAGGTTAAGGGCTCAGTCCTGCAAGACTGCCCCCTCTTCAGATGCCAGTCTTGAGTCCAGGTCTCTGGTACTTCTGACTGACTGGCTATAAAAAGGGGGTTCCCACAACCCCCTCCTCGGGTTCGATAATTTGCTAACGCAAACTCACAGAACTCAGAGAAACATTTTACTTAATAGATTACCAGTTTGCTATAAAAGGATACAGCTCAGGAACAGCCAGAGGGAAGAGATGTGTAGGGCAGAGTATGGGGAAGGGGCCGGGAGCCTCCCTGCCCTCTCCAGACATGCCCTCCTCCTGGCACCTCCATGTGTTCACCAACCCAGAAGCTCTCCAGACCCCCGAGGTTAGGGTTTTTAAATAGAGGCATCATTACATAGGTGTGATTGATTAAATCATTGGCCATTAGTGATTCACTCAACCTCCCTGGAGGTGGAGAAGATGGGGAAGAAAGTTCCAACCCTCTAATCACGTGGTTGGTTCTTCCTCTGCCACAGCCCCCAATCCTGAGGCTGTCTAGGAGCCCCCAGCCCCCAATCATCTCATTAGCATACAAAAAGACACTTATCTCTTCAGAGATTCCAAAGGTTTTAGGAGCCATGTGCCAGGAGCCAGGGGCAGAGACCAAATATATATTTCTTGCTGTGTCACACAAAGACACAGCCAGACCCAAAAGACTGAGTTCTCTCCTTCAATCCATGTGTCAAACGTCGGGTGTGACTTACAGAAGTCTGATGGTCACCGCCCATTTCGGGACTCTGGCCACTGCCTCCTCGAGGCTTATGTTGGTGTCTAAGCCTGTTGGACCCAGGCTATCATCAACTTAAGAAATCACAGGGGGCGGCCTCCATATAGCAACACGAGAGCCCAGGCATGGGGGCTGTGCAGACCTCTGTCCTTGGTGTGTCTTGGCAGGTACGCTGGCCCCATGGAGCGTGCGGGGGCAGAGAGCATCCTCACCAACCGCTCGGATGGGACGTTCTTGGTGCGGCAGAGGGTGAAGGACGCAGCAGAGTTTGCCATCAGCATTAAGTAACTCCTCCCTCCCTGACCCATCTCCCCTGGGACCTGGGCGCTGCAGGTGCCTGAGAGGAAGGGAATGTACAGTCATGACAGCCACCCTTTATTTTAGCCTCTGTGGGTCCTGAGTGTTTTTAAATCTTTTTTATTTCTTTTAATTGACTGACAAGAAAGAGAGATGACTCCTAGGGAGCCCCAAAAGGCTTCTAGCATACTCTAGAAAGAGGCAGAAATGCAATCTGAACCCAAGTCTTGCAGACCCTGGCTCTGCTGTGTGCAGCTTCTCTCTCATGGTGACCCATTTCCTCGTGGATTTTATAATTTTGTCTTGTGATCTTAAGTGAGGCTTTCCCTGTGGGACTCTTTTGCTGCCTGCATCTCCAGCGATTTTGCGTTTACTTCTGTGGGCATCACCAACAGGTTAATTTCTTTATCAGGTTAAAAAATTGTAGGTTGATTTCTTAGTTTCCCAGACCACACGGGTGGTTTAAGTTCAAACCCCAAACCTACGTGAGGGCAGGACTGAGGCTGTAAATTCTCAAGGGTGACTTTGGGGTCTCGGACACAGACAAGCTTTCTCATCATCCCGGCTGGGCTGATGGGTGCAATTTTTCTAGCGTAACTCTTTTCCTGCAGGCGTAGCTTTTCGCCTGTCCAGCCTTATGGGAGGGGGTCTCAGTGCCAACTCTCCACCCTACATAGACCCCGTAACTCGTCTCCTCTTTCTACATGATCATCAAGCAGGGCAAAGCTCCTTGGTTACTAATATCAGCAAGGGTTGAAATTGATGCTTACTGTTCGATTTTTAGTTCCATCCTCGTTTTTGGCCTCTGGGAATTTCCCTTATCTTTTTGAGAGCTCAGCATTTCGCCCCCCCCCCCAGCATTTCTAGGGGTTTTCTGTAGTAGATTTTTTAAATCTACTTTTACATATTTGCAGAAGTGAATATCCTTCTCATGTCCCCGCTGGTCTGTGGTCCGCCATATTGATGGAAATGGAGATCTCGTCCTCTCTATTCCAGAACATGGCTTTCTTTACGAGGTCTTTTTGACTTCTCAACAAACTTGTGAGTCAGGGAAGATGATTCCTATTATAGAGGAAGAAATGAAGGCTTAGAGCAGCAAAGGCCCCAGGGAAGGGATCCTTTTGGGACAGCAGGAGGGAGCTTCAGTCCTTGGGCTCCAGTGGTGGCCTCCTCCAGGAAGTAGCCAAGATTGCTTCCTCCATGGTTAGAGGTGTGTAGCTGGGGCTGAGACTTCGCAGGGGCTCCAAGACCATCTGGTCCTCTCTCTCTCTGCTTCCAGGTATAATGTTGAGGTCAAGCATATTAAAATTATGACAGCAGAAGGACTGTACCGGATTACAGAGAAGAAGGCTTTCCGGGGGCTTACGGTAAGGGCCAATCTACCCCTAACCCCAGCCTCCCAGAATACAGACAGGACCCTCCTTGAAGCTCTATCTTGAGAGTGCCCCCCACCCCCAACACTTACCTATATTCAGAGCAGCCCCTCCAAGGGCACTAGGGAGCAATTGGCCTTAAACTCATTCTCTTAATGACTAGCAATGAGAATATTAATAATAAATAATAGCAATGAGCATTTATGGAGAACTTATTGAGTGATGGACATGTTATAGATAGGGCTTTAGTTAATCCCCTCAATTCACTCCCTGAGTTCCCATTTCACAGATGGGTAAAACTGAGGTTTAATCCTCATCTGGCATCACAGAATTGCAGAGCCCCTATATCTATCAGACTTGAGACTCAGCTTTGTCTAATTTGCTTATTGACCATTTAACTGAGAATTCAAATGCCTTTCAATTGTTTTTGCTTCTTTTTGGTGCCCTGTAATTTTGGGCTTTTAGACATTTTAACCCCATTGCACTGAATCACATAAATCTTACCCATGGTCTATGGATTCTTGAATTCTCTGAAAGAAAATCCAGTATCTTGTACATATCTGCTTTTTTTGGGGGGGAAGGATGTCTCAGATTGCACTTGATCATCAAAGGGATCCTTGACTCCCCAGAACGTTAGGGACTGTTAATTTATTCCACAAATCTTTTTTTCCCCCCAAACTTGTTATTCTGAAAAATGTTCCCTCCATTTTGTATTTCTGAAAAATTTCGGAGAAGTTATGGAATTGTGTAATGAACATCTGTAAACCTTTCACCTAGTTTGTTAATTGTTAATATTTTGCCTGTTTTGCTTTCTCTCTCTCTCTCTCCACACACACTCACACATCTATTCTGTACTATTTAAGACTAAGTCACAGGCATTGAGATCCATCAGTCATAAATACTTTAACATGAATATCCAAAGAGCCGAGTCATTCTCACCCCTCAACACAGGATCATTATCATGCTCAGGAAGTTGAACACTGATGCAAAATTGTTATCTGATGGACAGTCCATTTCCCAAACTCCCTGATTGCCCAAATTATGTCTTTTATAGCTGTGTTTTCCCCCAGGATATAATTAAGGATCACACATTGCATTTAGTTTTATCTCTTTAGTTTATAATAGTTCCCCAGTCTTTTATTTATTTTTTTGGTCTTTCACGATATTGGCAATTTTGGAGGCTAGAACTCCAAAACACAAGATATTTTATTTTGAAGAATGTTTCTTAATTTTGACCTGATTGTTTCCCCACTATTAGAATCAGCTTGAGCATTTGTGGAAGAAATATTCATACGTGCGACAAATCTGGAAGTTGAATGCAGATCAGTCTGTAATAATACAGAAGCCAGCTCTTAGCTGCTACACTCTATTGCCCCCTCCTCTGGGGCTGAATTCCGGATCTTCCCTTTTCCAGCTGTGGGACCCTGGATGAGGAACTTGACACCTCTGTGACTCAGTTTCTCCATTTAGAAAATAGGAGAATCATGACTGTATTCACCTCTCAGTGTTATTAGGAGATTTTGATAACGTGTGATTGCATACTGGCCAGCACATAGTAGGTGCTTTAGAAACAGCATCTATTATTATTAAAATTAATTGTAAAAATAAGGCTCTTGACACCCACAGGGGGTCGATTTTGGTGAGCTGGTCATCAGGCAAGTTGGTAAATGTATCATAAAGTGAATTGGCTACTAGGAAAACTGGCTTTAGGCGATGTGATCTCTTCCCCATAAAATGGTCCTGGCTGCCCAGGAAGGGAATGAGCTCCCCATCATGGGGAATATTCAAGGAGTCACTTGTCAGGGAGGCCAGAAGGGGGCCTGCCTCACATGAAGAGTTGGATGTGGCTCCTTCTAGCTCCTTCCAGCTCTGCCCCATCGTGGGCTGGCCCCCTGGGATAGCATCTGTCCCGCTGTCCTTCTTCTAGGAGCTGGTGGAGTTTTACCAGCAGAATTCCCTAAAGGATTGTTTCAAGTCGCTGGACACCACCCTGCAGTTCCCCTTCAAGGAGCCGGAGAGGCGAGCCATTAGCAAACCACCAGGTAGGACGTCTCAGGCTGGGGGCCTGCAGCCCCAGCTCCTTTCCATTGTGGAGGGAAAGTTTGGGGGTGCCATGGACGTTCCTCCCAGTGGGTATGCAGAGGTCATATCTGTGAAACAGCGGGAACTGCTTCCCACCCCTGTCTGTCCCTTTGTTCTTGAGTGGTTTGTATATTCATTTGCTTGGATGGAAGATGGAGCAGGGGTTACTTTTGTATTTGGGAAGATGAGGACACTGGGAACAGAAGGGTCCTCTCCTGCACCTTTTAAGCCTATATTTTTGTATCAATATCAAGGATTAGTTATTATCTATAACCTTGTCCTACAAAAGGCAAGACCTTTAGCTCACTTTTACTTCCCTTTTCCTTTGCATTGCTTACCCACCAGGCTTGTTGAAATTATCTGGAATGTAGGCTACAGTTTGCTATGAATTAAAACAGTTATAACATATTTTAGGAATCCTTTCTTAACAATTGCATTTAACTTTGCAAATATCGTATCAAGAATTGTTTAGACTCCATCTATATTTCTTGTTTTCCATGTTTTTCTTTATTTTTAAAATTCCTTATTGCAATTCAAATTTCATTTTGCTGGAGTACATTCTGGAGAACGTTTTTCAGAAAAGTCATACAGGTGGGATAGTGTCTGAATTCTTATGTGTCCAAAACTTTTTAAAAGAGGGATTTAAAAATTATTGTTAAAATGGCATATTTTTGAAAAAGCAACACCAATATAATATCAGGACTCCAAGACAAAAAAATTGGCCCTATTCTTATCACCCAAATGAATAAATGTTTCTTTCTGTCTGCACATTGCTTATTTGTCCTGGTGGCTATATGGGCATTCAATCTTGGCATATTTGCAGAAATACTACAAATTAATTTTATATTCTACAATGTTGCTATGAAATGTGCTATGTACTGTGCTACAATGTACTATGAAACGTTTTTTTGTATCTTTTTTTCTCTTACTTATTTTTCCCTGTTCCCTCTCTTCTTTCACCCTTGGTCCTCCTTAAGTAATTAATCTTAACAGGCTAGAATGAAATTTTCCGCGTCTTTCCTTTTTTCCTTTCATTATAAATATGGACAAAACATTTAAAAATTTATAAATGCTATTATTTTCTAAATTTGGATGCTGACTGGGCTGGAATGATGATTCCAGGAGTACAAGGGTGTCCCCACCAGAACACAGAGCACCCGACACTCCGCACAAAGAAGCACTGAGGGACCCTTCATTCTGGTGTTACCCTCCTGAGAGCATTGCCCTCCCCCATCACTCTCCCCAGTTGGTGGGCTGGTATCTGCTGTAGGTCCTTTTCCCACCTCTGCTCTTCTCTACGCAGCAGGAAGCACCAAGTATTTTGGCACCGCCAAAGCCCGCTATGACTTCTGTGCCCGGGACCGATCGGAGCTGTCCCTCAAGGAGGGTGACATCATCAAAATCCTTAATAAGAAGGGGCAACAAGGCTGGTGGCGAGGGGAGATCTATGGCCGGGTAAGTTTGTGGGGAGGTTGGCAGCCTGGGGAAAGGGGCTTGGGGTGACCTTGCCATGGTGGAGCTACCCTGGAATTGTGGAACAGAGAAGGCAGGGAGCGGCTCACGTGGAGGTCTTCCCTGGTCGGAGGGGAGGAAAGGACATTTCGTTTCGTAGATATTTCTTTCATTTATGCAACCTGCATTTATTTATTGATCACCTACTATGCACTGGGCATTCTCATGGGTGCCAAGGAGTCAGAAATGAGCGCAGTACAATCACTGCCTTTGTGAAACTCATAGTCTAGTGAGGAGGATAGACCTGTAACCAAGCAGTTACGATGTTGCGTGGCCAAGATTGAGATGGGGAATCATGGGGCAGCGTGGGAACCCCGAGGGAACCCCTGACTTGGCGCTGAGAGCAAGTCAGGGCGACTTCTGAGAGGCAAAGTTGATTGCTGAGGGATGAGTAAAGTTAGCCAGGTTAAAAGGTTCACGGGAGGGTGAGAGGAAGTATTCCAGGCAGAAAGTCCAGCATGTGCAAAGGCCCTGGGGTGAGAGAATGATTGACGTGTTTGGGGAACACAAAGGCAGGGATTTGAGTCTATCTTGTTCACTGCAGTATCACCAGTGCCTAGAACAGTGCCTGGCACATAGTAGGTACTCAATAATTATTGATTGCATGAAGAGGCAGAACTGGGACTAACCACTTTTGCCTTATCTGCTCTTTTGCCTGCCTGAATTCAGGCTGTCAAGAAGGGACCTCAAGCTTCCTCAAAAAAGTTTGTTTCTGCCTGGTTCTTCTTATTGTTTTTTTTTTTGCTGAGGAAGATTGGCCCTGGGCTAACATCCATGCCCATCTTCCTCTGCTTTATATGGGACGCTGCCACAGCATGGCTTGACAAGCGGTGCATCGGTCCATGCCCAGGATCTGAACCTGTGAATGCTGGGCCACCAAAGCGGAGCACGCGAACTTAACCACTACTCCAACAGGCTGGCCCCTGCCTGGTTCTTATTTTTGTCTCACAAAGGCAGAGAGTCTTCTTTTTTTTTTTTTTATAATTTTTTAAATTTATTTATTTTTCCCCCCAAAAGCCCCAGTAGATAGTTGTATGTAATAGCTGCACATCCTTCTACTTGCTGCATGTGGGACGCGGCCTCAGCATGGCCGGAGAAGCGGTGCGTCGGTGCGCGCCCGGGATCCGAACCCGGGCCGCCAGCAGCGGAGCATGCGCACTTAACCGCTAAGCCACGGGGCCGGCCCGAGAGTCTTCTTTATTTCATCTGCTGATGAATTCCTAGCCTCTAAATATTGCCTTGCCTGTACTGGTTTCTCAAAAATGTTGAGTGAAGACAAGGACACTGGTTAGGAGATTACTATCTACTAGGGGGAAACATATGTGAAAAAATGACCTGGATAATTGCTTAGGTGAACAATTCTGTTAAGAACCATGGAGGGTAAGTTTAGTGTGCAGTGGAGGACAATTAGGGTTTGAGAGAGCCTTTTGGGGTGTTTAGGAAGGGCTGAGCTGTAATGGATTCATCCATCCATCCATCATTTCATCCTTCCTTCCTTCCTTCCATCCATCCATCCATCATCCATCATCCATCCATCCATCCATCCATCCATCCATCATCCATCCATCCATCATTTCATCCATCCATCATCCATCCATCCATCCATCCATCCATCATCCATCCA